CTCTCGAGGACCTTAACGACCCTTCTGTCACCTTCTCCTCAATGGAAGCAGAGGAAGAGTTCCTCCATCTTAGCAAGACGACGACGGAGTATGATATCTGAAGACATGCGACCCAGACGCCTCCTCATCCCTCGCAGCATCGGGGTAGGGGGGTTTGTGGTTGTCACCTTGGGCCCCAGCACCCGGACCTCCGACACCTTACTTCGGCGGTCTGAGTCTCGCCCTATCTCCTCCCGCGGTGACCTATGCCACAATCGCCACCGGGACCGCAACTTGATTTACCGTCTCCGCATCATCTTTGGGGCCCACGTCAGTATTTGCCGATAAAGAATCGATGGTCAAATCCTCAGTCACTGAAAAGAAATGAACAAAAAAGCTAATCAAACTACATACCAAGGATCCGCCCCCACTCAAATGTTGAATAAGAAAATAGATCCTCACCCGCTTTTTCTAGTCCTCCACCTTCATAGGAGAAGCCACACCTATCCTGTCAAAGCCACATCTCAGCCTCGGTCGTCACCTTCTTAGTGTTTCTCTAGGGAATCACAACCCCCACAGCCTCCTAGGCAGGTAGTCTTACTTCCACGGGTGAGATACTCGCCCCAGGTAAGCATCCAGTAGGAGAGTTGTCCATACGATCCACAACCCTCTCCGGAGGAGGGTCTACCAGAGAACCAGAAGAGATTGGCCGAATCTCGCAATCGTCGGCTCTATGCTAGAAGACGGCTCTCTTCCTGCTCACTCCTTCCGCAGATGCCTCACCCGACGGTTTGCGCTTCACGTCTAACTTACAGGTCTGCACGCACCTGTCACTAATAGCCTTGGAAAGACACTCTTATCAGAAGGTGAGACTCCTTCGCCAGACATCGCGGAGAACAAATAGAGAGGAAGACACGAGATAAAGGAATCTAAAGGAGGTGAAGCGATGCATACTTCCCTTGAATCAAAGCATATTTTCATAATGACATGGGCTCAAAAATTCAGGGAAGTCCATTATTACGCAATAATATCATTTATTTATTAATTCATATATACGTTCAAAATATTCTTCTGCCTCGTGTGCTAGGTAGCTTCTGCTGAGCGAGAGAATCGGAAAACTAAATATGTACACATAAAGATGTGTTTGCACGAATCTCAAAGCATATGGGTGATCCAGGAAGGAAGTTCGACCAATTGGACGAAGCAATAGACGAACGTTTCCACATAAGCAGCGACGAAAATCCCACGCCTAAGTGATCGACAGAAGATGAAAAATGGAAGTCCCTCGAGACAGTCATCAGTCTGCGGAACGATCGATGGGGAGCACTCCTCCGAGCCATGAATCGATCAAACCAAAATCTGACGATCGATGACCTTTATCAATCGAATGGGTCTCGGATTTTATTATATGCAAATTATCGTGTAAATTACCAAGAAATCCCCCTAAAAGGTTAATGATTAGGGGGCTAACAAGTATTTTTGTCATGTTAGGGTCGAGACCTATAAATAAGGGACCATATCACGAATAAAATGTACCTTTTCAGCTGGTTTACTATTACTCATCCATTCTCTTTCTCTCTATCTCTTAATTGCAAGGTTTCATTCATTGGGCGTGTTTCCCGGACAATTTCGGATTCACACATATATTTTTTGTTAATAGGGTTTATGAACTAGTGCACCTACTTGATTATAATATTATAATGATATATATAAGATATAATCTAATAAGTTGATAATTATAACGTGATCAATTAAACTAAATAATAAATTGATTAATTTAATATTATTTAGAAGTTAATTAATAAAATTAATATTTAATTATAATTTAATAAAACTAGGTAAAATAATTTGTAATATATTATATATGTTTTTTTGAAAAAGCCCAAGGGCTAATATATTAAAGATAAAAATACAGATATGTTTGTATGAGTGGGCCTAAACACCCAACCCATACGGTACAACAAAAAAAAAAAAGAAAAAGATGGGTACATATAGAAATAAAAGAAAAAAATCAAAAAAACCACCCAGTCGCTGAAAAAGTGTGGGTCATCCTAATCTAGACTTGTCTCTGACTCTAGTTCTCGGTAGGGATCCAGCTAGCAGATTGGTAAGGTGCTGACCATTACCTGTAGTAACCAAAGTATCATCTATAAGACTCCTGAGCTCTAGTAGATCTCCATTCTTCTTCTTCCTCCTGGAAGTGTAAACCTGTCATTCCTCCTCCGGAGAATCAGCCTGATGTGGTAGAGCTGAAGAAATACCAACAGTAGTACCCACAGTAGGTTCTGGAATATGTGAAGTATGAGTTCCCGCTACACCAGATACTTCTTGAAGAATTGGAGCTGTGAGGCTCTCCTGATTATCAGTCTGAACTCCATCATTTATAGGTAAGAGTCCATCAATATTATTTTGTATGGATTTTGTGGGTGCCAACATCTCATCACTCGCAGTAGCAGTAATAACAGTTTCATGGGGGAGATCCTCAGGGGCAACAAACACCTCATGTCTGATAGTATCATCCTCAGGTGGAACTAAAATATCAACAGCAGTAGGGTTAGACCCATCCTTATTCACTTGAAACTTAGATTTCAAATTAGGATGACGTTTGTGACATTTAGCAAGGATATGACCAAACATCTTACAGTGGGTACAATATGGAGATTTCTGTTCCATGACGCTTTGTTGCCAATAACCATTATGGGTTGTGCCCAACCAGACTTCAGTAACATCAGGTAAAGTAATATTTTTTTCCACAAGTATTCTGGCCACCGAGGGTCTGGTTAGGTTGAAAGTAGGCAGAGCTAGTTTTAGAGGATCCCCAAGAATGACCCCAATAGAGTAGAGAACCTGATGGTGAAAAAAATGCAGCCTGAGACCAGGTAAACTAAACCATACAGGTATAGTGGGAGTTTCATGATTTGGGTCGAAATTAAGAGACCACTTGAGTAACTTCATTGATTTGCCTTCGATATTAAGATATTTCTTGGAGAAAATCCTGGTGTAGTCTTCAGCCACTGTTAGTTGGATCAATACATGTCTCTTATCCATGAGTCTCACTTTCCACTTGCCTGCTAGCTTAAGATCATCAACATTTTTTATGATAATATCCATAGGAGGGTATCCCCACTGAAATTTTTCAATAAGAGTAAACTTGAATTTTTCCGTCAGAGTAGAAATTTCTGATTCAGAGAAAAATATTGCTTCTTTTCCACCTTTCTTGCTCCCATTCTTAATAAAAGAACAATCATCAGTACCCTCGCGAGATTCCTTATAACTTGAGGGGAATCTCACTGCAGACTCCACTTGGGGGTTACCCACTACGTGGGCAAAGAAAACTTTATCCGGCTCCACCACAGAAGTAAATGCCATCAGAGGTCAGAGAAGGACCTGTCAGGCGGACGCAGAAGCGGCAGCCAACAAGACCACACAACAACAAGAGGGGA